TTTCAAGTGATTTACACCCAGAAAATATTTTAGACTGTATGAATTTTATGGAGATAATAATGGTTTACAGGTAAAATTTTCCAAGGTTTCCAAGGTAAGTGGATATAAAAAACGACTGTTCCCTGATTTCCAATTCCGAGCCTTTATACACCACCCGCATATCCAAGCTTACAGCACTTAGTATTCCCACTTTACATCAAATCAATTTGGAAGAGGAATCCAACCAGAATTTCTTTTTGGTAGGTACAATTTTAATAATACATATAATCCCACTGGTACCGTGTTGATGGCAGAAAGGAAACTTGAGGAACATCTAAACAACTTAAATAATAAAAGGAAGATTCTAAAATGCAAGTTACGAACTGGAAATGCCAAAATAAAGCAAGTTCAGAAGTTCATAGATCTGGAAAGTGTTTTAACAAATAAAGGAAAATTCAAAACCCCAAACTGAAGGTGTTTTTGGAATAGCGAAGATGCTTTCCAAAAGAAATAAATATAATCAGTCATCCTGTGTAGCTGTGTAACATTGCCCAGCCCATATGGCAGCGAATGCTGTAAAATTTCCATAAAGAAAAGGAAAGACTAGAAGCAAGGTAGAGTAATGCATTGCGGCTCAGACTGTGGAATCAGAGATCGGAGTTCGAATTCCAGTCGAGTTCATTGTATTCATTTACGTGCTAATAATCTTGGGAAAGGTATGAATCCATCTCTTCTCCCTACCCCAGTAGAGCAGTTCTGGGTTTTACAAACTTGGATGGCAACCGATCTAGGAAAAGGAAAACTGAATTCAAAACTGTATGTAGCTCTGACGAAGCACATACTATGTAAATAAGGATGGTTCAAATTGATACGCTGATCCTGAGTACGGTCGACTTCTTGTAGAAATAGAAATGTTGATATAAAGAAGGATGCTGAGAATAATATAGACAGAGCATGTAAGAAACGAAGAAGTTTTAAAGAAAATAAAAACAAAAAGATATTTTTAATTAGAATCCCAAAGAGACAGTTGAAATTTCTTGGACAGATAATGAGGAAAGAGGATACATTGGCGGTAAGATGGACAGAGAGGATCATGGAGTAACGAGCTCAATTAAGTGGATGGGAGAAGAGCGAACATGAGAAATGGCGAAAAGACAAACATTACAAAGAGCTATAAAGGAGTAAAAGTTTTGGAGAACAGTGATCCTCTATGTTTTAAAGAACACGGCCCACTGAACAAGAACATATTATCTCACTGTATATCAATTTATGGTTAGCGGTATATCAATACCTTTATGACTTATTTAATGCCCACACCTAAATATCTTGTACGCAATTTTATGGCTTCAATTACAGATATTTTGCATATAATTTTATACTTTCAAGATAAACGTGTGTTTTAACAAGTGACCTTGCCTCCAAGAAACCGGATTACAGGATTACACTAACACTGCTGACACTATGGACCAAGTTATCAGAAAGTACATTGCAATTATAAAAACATAATTTATGGCCATTTAATTGTAATAATAGTACCTCAATGGTATTTGTCTAGAACAGCACTTCTTAAACTTTTTTCATTCATGATCCCATTTTTCATCACAAGATTCTTCGCGACTCCAGGTATTAAATATGAAATAAAACAAAAATAAATCCTTTATTTTTGGATGAAAAATATACATATAAAACAGTAGTTATATTATTTGTCAAAATAAAAGTAGTTTTAGGATTTGTTCCAAGTACAAAAATAAATCCAAGTAAATGTTTCAAGTACAAACATATAACAAAGTAAAAAAATAAATAAACCAAAATAAAAAGCATATTTGGTTTTTAATAAGGGTTAGAGCTGAAAACGTCGTTTCAATAGATATGTGGTGCTAAATGACTAAAGAACATAAGATGCTATTTCTGAAATTGTGGGAAATTCAGCTTTAGGTTCTATCCAGAATTCAGTCAAATATTTCTTTGTAAATTCAAGTTTCAAGTTTGAGTCTCTCGATAGCTCAGCGAATTCCTCTTGGGCTTTATATAGCAAATGATTAATATCACCTGTGTCAACTGAAAATTGTTTTTGAATCCAAGATAGCTTTTTGAAATTAAAATTCGATATGAAATGAAAATGAGTTTCTGGGGTATTCAAGTGGTCTATAATAATTGTTGAATTTAAATTTTTACATTTATTCTTTTCAAATTATAAAATCCTCGATAACCGGAAACGTTTCGAATGAATTCCTTTTTCACCCTATTCTTTCAAATGTTGATATTTTTAATAAAACGCTGAATTTTATCATTCGAAGTAAATATACCGCTTGTCTCTTCAAGGAAATAAAAGCGGTAAGGTTGAGATCGTTTATTTTCTCAAAAATATCTGACAAATCGCATAAATTTGAAAGTCATAAGTCATTTTGAAAATGATCAGCAAGATCAGATTTTAGGTCTGTTAAAAATATAATTTCATCTTTTACCAGCAATAATCTGTTTAGACTTCGCCTACATGACAGCCTAGTTTTTTTATTCTGAGTCCATATTGTTACAGAGATCTGAAAATAAATTGCTGTTAAGGAGAAGGCAGACCAAATTCAACACGCTTACTTCTTTTAGAAAATTGCCGAGCCCGTCCACATGAATATAAATTAGTGTCAACTTGTAGAAATAATTTTGCGCGCTATTTACCGTCAAACGTTACATCGTTGATCCAACCAATGGATCAAGTTGTCATTTGGAATATGAAATGTTTCTACAAAATTCATTTCATGATGTAGCTGATGAATTCCAATGTTAGTCTACAAAATTTTCAGAAAAGTTTAACCATCAAAGATGCCATGTTTTTACTAGCACAATCATGGCATGGGGTGAAAACTGACACTTTAAGAAGAGCATGGGAAAACCTGTGCCGAGGTAGAGATAAGTAATGTTAACAAAAGTGAAACATATTGTTTAGAAAAAGAATCAGAGCTGCAGAAAATTATTGAAAGTTGCCAGCTTCCTACTGAACACAAAAATCTTCAATCCTTTGATGCAGGTGATTCAGTATGGGTCGGTCGAGAAGCAGAAATAAAAGATGATACTCATAAGATAGTGTTAATCGTGATAGCTGCAGTCGTAGTGATTCTATATTAGACGACCAAAGGAAAAGCAGAGAAGTCTATTGAAACACTTCTCAAATTCACTGAGCAAAATCCTTGTTTCAATGGCCTCTGGAGTATTCAGTCATGCGCATTACAAAATGAAATTATCAAAACGAAACTACATAAACGTAAAGTGAAAGAATGTCGTACTCGCGTCAAAAGCGCCATAGAAACAAATGTCTTGAATGTAAATGAAGACCGCAGCTAACTTCAGGAATATCCAACAATGGACGAATGATAAATTTATAACTGTCATACATTTTTAAACATTTCATAAAGTGTCTTAATTTTTCACAAATTTACAATACTAGTTTAGCACAGACTTTTTCATTACTATTGGTTGTCAATAATTTTGTACATTTAAATCTACACTTTAAATAAAAACGAATTAACGTTACAAGCTACCTTGTGTGTCTTAAACTCTAAAACTTAATGTAAATTGTAAGCAGCCTTTTCTTTCTAGAATTCGAACAGTATCCTCAGTAGATGTTCTGTTTGAGGAGCTGTACTGTATGTAATAATAATAATAATAATAATAATAACAATAATAATAATAATAATATATTTTATAATAATAATAATAATAATAATAATAATATATATATATATATATATATATATATATATATATATATATATATATATATATATAAAGCGAGTGAGGCAAAGATAGAAAAAGGAAGTAAAGACGAAACTATGAATGAATAAATCATGTTTGCAAGCAAATCAGCGACAATAAAATTGGTAAGAGAACCTGGGAAAAGATGAGAATTATACAAAAATAAAAGTAAGGGAAGAAATGAAAAAAACGGGACTACAGAAGTCATAAATAAATTCTTATGAGAAATAATATGAGTAAAAAGATGGAAAGAAAAAAAAGATCGCGCGGAAAACATGAAGAAATTTTGGCAGAATGTTGGGAAGGAAGAAAAGACATGTGCGAAGGAAACAAATAAAAATCGAGTGCAGAGAGGAAGTATAAAAAAGCAACGTTGGGTGCGAAATAATAGATATGACATGAGATCTATGGGTGGGCAGACGTTGTGGGTGTTCACTTTGACCATAGAGCTGTCTCCATTCTTGGTGCACTGGGCAAGTTCAGCGGTCATCCGGTGCAGAATCAAGCACAAAAAACAGATAGATACGAACAGATACATAGATATGAACGGAGTGATTATATATATATATATATATATATATATATATATATATATATATATATATATAGAGATGAGAGAGAGAAAGAGAGAGAGAGAGAGGGGGAGATTCGAACAGTGAATGTGATGTCCTCGGAGATAGATATCGGTATGATATATAGAGAGGGGATAGATAGATAGATAGATAGATAGATAGATAGATAGGGTTATGTAGTGATATACAGAAAGGAAATTGTTGAGAAAGAGAGAAGGAAAGACAAAGAAAAGAAAGAAAAAAAGAAAGAAATAGTGAATAATTGATTTGTTTTCTACGGCTTATCGACATTTTGCAGGTTATTTAGAGTCGGATAATATTTTTAGATTGTAAGAATCTTTTAGAAATAATAAGAAATTACTGCTACAGTTCCTGCTAATTAACCCATGCCTGTGGGGGAAGAGGTAAATTCATACCTTTCCCAAGGGTATTTTGCGCGTATCTAAATATAACGAACCAGATTAGAATTGGAACATAACCCTCTCATTTTCTATTCCATGGTATTATCCATTACACCACACGCATAACTCTGCTTACTGCAAATAAAGAAAGAAAGAAGTGAAGAGAAGTAACAGTAATGATAGAGTTAAAAGGCAAGCGACAAGAAATGAATGAAAATAAAGAAAATAATTTAACAATCTCATCTAGGTTTCAAAATGAAGCAAAATGAAAAAACATGGGATAAAATAAACTTGGTAATTGTTAAGAAAGAATGAAAGAAACACGGAAGAAAGAAAGAAAATTAGCAACAGAATATGAAATATAATCGAAATGAAAAAAGAAAGAAACAATAGAAGCAACAGAAAAGAAGGAATAAAGAAATGAATGTATAAAATATGAGAGAAACAATAAAGAGACAGAAAAAAAGAAGGAGACAAAGAGAAAGAGGAATGTAATAGGAACAAACCGAAGTGAGCTAGGAAAAAGAAAAAGAAAAGAAAGAAGGAATCGTGGGAGAAAAGAAAGAGAAGCAATAATGACAGAAGTCAAAATAAAAAGTAATAAAAAGCCGGGAAAATCTAAATAGAAAAAATAACGAATTTTGTATTTAAAAATATAAGAGAAAAAAAAAATCAAAGACAATAAAATGAAATAAAAAAACAAAAATGTAGGAACTTTGATAAAGATAGGAAATTTCTAACTGAACGAAAGTACAACTATGAAAATGGTAAGAAACAACTGAAAGGAAAGAAAGGAAGCCGAGAGCTATAAAGAAAGGAAGTTAAGAGTTATAGACACAAACGGAAATGGGAGAAGCATTGAAAAAGAGAAAGAAAAAATGCAACTAAACACGGCAGCAAGACTTCGTTTTGAGTTCATACTCGTTTTTCAGTTGTAAAATTTTAATGAAAGTTGACAATTTCAGAAGCGGATGCTACCGTCAAAGGGTTCAAGTGTTTTGACTTTGGGAAATGCTAAATACACTTTCAGTCGAGAAATACCATTCTATATATTTCCATTTCATTGAAAATCATGAAGCTTTGTCTGTTGTGGCAAAAGCGCATATAGCAATATTATGCTGCATCTCTCGTCCAACTTACCATCAGGCGTGACTGAGGTTGATGCACCAGTCCCTGTCTACAAAAGTAATATCTCATCCATATAGTCAACTCTTTTACTATAGATATTGATTACGAGAATGGATCATTAATTTCGTAACCAGAAAATCTTCTTTAAATGTGGTGCCCCCTCAGAACTTAGACGATTATGGCCTCCATAACTTCCTCTAACTTTTAGCTCTTAAAAAATTTTGTCTTTTCGCTATTTCTCCTAAACCGTGTTTAGCTATCCATTTACTCAAGCCCATCGTGTATGTCATGCGCAGTTTTCTTCTGTCTATCTTTCCCTCAATCTGTCCCGTGAGTATCAGATTCTCCAAGCAATCATTTACTTATTGCATGCTCCAGAAATTTCAAATGCCGCTTCTTGATGTTAACCATATAAGTTTCCCTTTTCTTATAAAACTCGACGTTGCACAGATGTTTGGTCCATGTTATCATGAGCATCCTTCTATAGAACCATATATAATTTTAATCTGAATATTTACTTACACTATTTACATTGTTCGGACCATTGTTTATTGTCATATTCACAGCGTTTTTACGGACTTCATTAGGTGATATATGTTGGAATTTCTAATCGAACACTTTATTTTGTCGACTGGGGGTAGATTGTTCTAGTTCCACATGGCATGCCTCTTCTGGATGTTTCAGTTAATTCCTTTTAGTAACTCAACTTTAAGTTAATGGATTACTTCAACCAACACTTTTATCAACTGGGCTATTTGACCTTGAGGAGCATACAACGTCTGAAAGATCGTGAATATGAGGACAGCAGTCATCTCTCTCTCTCTCTCTCTCTCTCTCTCTCTCTCTCTCTCTCTCTCTCTCTCCCTCTGTATATATATATATATATATATATATATATAAAAGTGAACGTTGAAGTCAACACTCAGAGGCGACAGGCTGTTTTATGCTAGACGCAAGCGTCATGCCTATCTTTATTTGTAAAATATACAAAATGTCGCACAAGGTCAAAAAAGGGGGATGGAGAAAAGGGACGGTCTTCATCTGTCTTAAGTTTAAACTTAGCTAGCCACAAACATTGACCGAAACAGACAACAATATTCCTTACACCAAAACAACGCTTTCATACTTACTTTTCTTACTACAGCCACCATAATACCACATTGTCTCTATGAAAGTCCTAACTAGACCCCAATATTTACAAATAATTGTCTGTGGGGGATAAAACAACAAATTTAAAAATTTGCCCCAAATGTTTATTTACAAAGATGTACAAAAACATTTACAAGAAACTAAACAAAATAATGTTAGTAAGAAAACCCCCACAATCTCTAAAGGTGGCAGAAACATCAGTTAACTGGGCGAAATTAAAGCAGGATTTTAATAATATAAAAAACATTCAAACATCCAATCACTCACTCAAAACATGCACTCATTTAGACACAACAACAAATACGAAAAAACACATACGAAATAAAACGCGTCCCACACCCACCAGAGAACTGACGTCACTGCAAACCGAACGAGGGAGGGGATGGGGAGTTAAACCAAAGAAATTAGGGACAGAAATAAAAAGGGACCCATGAGTAAACATCCTCTAGCTAAGTTAATCTAAGGAAAGGAAAATCAGGACAAATGTCAAAAACGTAAACTAACCTAAATTTGGGCAGAGTTAGCCTAAGTTCAATGCAAAAAGAACAATATCCTGATGCCTAATCGGCATCAAAATGCCACTCCAAATCACCCCCTTTTAACTCGCCACAAACGCACAAGATTCACCCACTTCTGATGAAGTAGGTCGCCGCTTTTCCGTCCTAATCTTGACTTTAAGCTGATGCTTAAAGAACAAGTTCAGTTGGGAAGAAGTGAACTTCATAGAATCCCTTCTGACGCGTTGTCCAGATCACGACTCTGATAACACCTTGTAAACACAAGAAAACATAGCGTTCAGCTTTCATCATCGGCGGCACCACATTGCTGCAAACAAAACTGGCCTCAAGGACAAAGAACTTTCCACGCAGCATGCGAACCATGAGGCCTTCAACAAACTTGCATAACGGCGCTACGACCCTGCAATGAAAGAAAGCGTGACCAAGTCTCGACCTCATCACCACAGTGCCGGCAGTTTGGAGATTTCTCCAAACCCGCTGAACAAGTCACGATAGAAGGAGCACTCGGCTCGGGGTAAACGGTCGGCCTACTCCTCGCAAGACTGCACACTTCTTATGGAAGGGAAGTTCTTACGGGCGTCTTCCTTCAGAAGGCGCCCTTCTCGTCCGAATGACACATTCGATCGAGGAACGCGATGCTATGCATATTGACAGAATCTCAGAAGTGTGGAGGCAACAGATATCCCCATAAGAAGGAGAAAAAAGAGCCTTACTAATGAAATTAGTGTGGCAGACGGAAGAGGAAGTTCAGAGAGTCGGTAAAAGCGAATCGGGTACATGTGCGAAACATACTTCGACCCTCCCCTTTAAGGAAAGCTTCCTCCGAGACCACAAATTAAATGCAATCTCGGCCTTCCCTCGTACCTCCAACCAATTCATTTCCAACGGATGTCTGGTCCGAACGTCCGTCCAGAGGAAAAATCCGGGAAGAGACTCCCTTCCACACACCCAACCGCATGCCAACAGACTTATCGCGGTTGATCTTGACGCCAGTCACCATCTCATACCTACTGATTTCTTTGCTGACTTCTTCAATCTCGGCCCTGCTCAACACAAGAACCGAAACGTCGTCAGTATAGGCAGAATACCTGGCCGAGGTGGTAGCACCAGGTAGGGAAATTCCGCGTAGGACCGGATTCGCTTTTAACTTGGTAAGGAAAGGTTCTAACGCAAGAACGTAAACCATACGCGAAAGCGGACAACCTTGACGAATGGAACGAGACAATACGAAAGGTTCCGATCGTACTCTATTCACTATCAAAGGCTCGGACTGCTCTAAATTGATCAGCTCGGTTTCACTGTCGACTTGCTCGATGATCAAGCGGGCTATATGAAGGTTCTACTGAATAGTCCTGCCCTTCACAGCACAAGTCTGCTCGGAGCCAATCAGACTAGACAGGACAGCCTGCAAACGGTTGGCTAAGATCTTTGCCAAAATCTTTAACTCTGTATTTAACATACTTAAAAGGCGAAAGTTACCTAACCCATCTCCACCGTTCTTGTCCTTGCGCAGCAAATTGATCAGACCCCTGATTAAGCGTTGAGTTATAAACCCCTGCTTCATCCAGTTGTAAATCAGTTCCAGCAAGGGAACAAAAACGGGTGACAGCCGCAAATAAACTTCGTAGGGAACACCATCTAACCCCAGAGATTTATCCAGGCCAACCTGCTTCAGCGCTTCCCAGATTTCCGACTCTGTTATGGGACCCTCGCACCCAGTCGCTTCAGCTGCCTCAGGGCAGGGAAAGTCGGCTAAATAGATGTCGAATTGATGAAAAGTTCCTGAATGTAATCACGAAAAACCTCACATATGCCTGCGTTTGTTGTCACAGTCTACTTATCCGGCAATGTGACGCACGCGATATGTTGCCGAGACGCATTTCGAGACTCCTCTGCACGCAATTCAGCAGCCATATTCGTCACCTCAGAGGACATTCTTTTTAACCTAGCCCTAACTACCAGAGCTTGATCCTTCTTGATAAGCAAGTAGGCTAACTCTGCCTTAGCTAAGGATATTTCCCCATTATCCCGGGATTTAAATGCCTTGCTTTTGCTCACAAGCCGTTTGCCCCGCTAATCTATCTAGATTGAGTCGACGACTAAAATCAGCAGCAAACGTTCTAATTTTAGATTTTAATTTATCCCACCAAGCATTCCCAACCAGAGCTCCCGTCAATTCCTTCTGTATCATTAATAGCAGCTGGTCCCGGAAATCCTGCTCACCAAATAATGAGCAGTTTAATTTCCAGTAGCCAGCCATCCTAACCTTATGCTTATCTAAGATTATAAAGACTAGGACAAGCCTATGTTCCGAATAAACTATGTAATGGAAACTTGGACACCCTAAAAGATCTCCATCGACTCTCCTACCTAAGACACGGTTGAGGTAACTAAGAAGCACCCTAGCAGCCGAGCCGTCACTATTTATCCAAATCCAACCTACCTCCAGGGTGTGCTCATTGCGATATTTATCGGCAAGATCAAACTTATCGATAAAGTCCCGAAATGTTTGAACGTCCCGGTTTGTATCCGAATATAGCCCTATACTGTCTATGTTGGGGTAAAGGACGGCATTCCAATCCCCCACTGAAACTACCCGACGAGATGTCGTCAAAAAAGCTCCATCTGCCGAATCAAAGCTGGCCGCTCAGAATGTTCACTGGGAGCATACACCCCAATGAGACGAAGAGCCTTATCCTTTATGGTAACATCCAACGCGCAAAGGATGCTCTCCGGATCTGCGGAGACAAGAGTACACGCAGCCTTCAAAGACTTGCTCACCAGCCCAGAGACACCTCACGAACGATCATCAAAACATGTTGAATTGTGGGAGAACCCTCCAGATAGAATACCCGCATAGTCATGAGTAGAATACCGAGTCACGTGTACACAACAAACATTCACCCCGAGGCGCTGAAGGTTACGATAGAGCTTCGCCCTGCGAAACTCCGATATCAGGCCTCGAGCGTTCATACTTGTTAACCAGAGAGCCATAATGAAACCGATTAGGATTGCTCACCTGCATTGAACATGGCCGGGGTTCTTAGAATCATACTGAGATGGGTACTGACATTGCGCCAGTACCCATTTCAGTTCTGATAGTGCCATCAGGAGAGAGGCCATCAATATTCAAGGGGAAGGTTAATTTAAGAGCTCTTTACAGGGAGGAGTGAACAAAAAGCGGGAGCCTCCCTGAACAGAATGGATTTAGTTTTTTTTCATTTTCATTATCAAAGAAAGCCATTGGAGGGTAGAGGTCGAAAGTGCTATTGGCTTCGCGTAACATAGCCCATACGCCTTCTGACCCCTGTCCAGCTCTCACCACAGTCAAAATTCTTTGGGCATTGTGAAAAATTTTTTGATTTTCGATGTTCAAATCTTTTATTTTTTTCATATTCAAGAGTATTCTAAGGCCCATTACTTTCCTGGATTGTGAAAAAGCTTTGTTTGATGTTTAGCTACCCGACAGACATCTTCCCCTTATTAAATAGAAACTTTTGCTTTAGTTTTTTTCTTTGGTAGGCTCTGCTGAGTCTTCGGAAAGGCTGCGTTGTCTTTTTTGTGTTTCTATTTTTTGGGGTGAATTTCTGGGGGTTTAAACGGGGGATACCTTGGGAATTATAGTCGGAGTGCGGTTTTTAAGGGGTATTTGGAATGGACAGTTTTCCTTCAGGCGAGTCAATTTGGAAGAGGTTCAGGGTTATAATTTTCAGGACTAGGGGTGGAGACATAGGGAGCTATTTTGTGGATGGTGAAGATGGTCTAAGATTTCTTGCGGGACTCTTTTGGTTTTTCTACTTTTTGCATCTTTTCAAAGGAGGGATCGTATTTCTGGCGCTGTTGGCGCAATTTTTCAGAGTAAGTGGTCGGATAGAATTCCCTTAGAACTGGTAGAGGGATTGGGGCTGTGCGCGTCGTGTGGACTCCAGTGGAACGAGATCTCGCTGCCCGGAGATTCTCTTTGACTCTGCCAACGACATGCCATTCTCTCCCGTCCTTCTCCGCAACCGCACTAGCGGCGGGCAAAGGCTTCTCGGGAAATGGGGACTGAGAGACAGACCCAACCGGTGGTTTAACCACATCGGTTACGATCTCTGGCATGCCCATTACAGGCGAGACGGATGCAATAGACTCAGTCACAGGGGGATTTGGGTCGACAGGGGGCCAGAATCTCAGAGGCATTCTTCTCTGTGCAGGAAGAGGACAGATGACCAGTCTGCCCACACTTGCATCATGTTGGTCTACGCCCGGTGACAATAATTGGCATTTTCTGGCTCGCTACATCCAGACAGTTGGGGATGGAGATAAAGGCCTTCCGATCTATCATTATTTCGAAACTCCATCCCCTGGTCAGATCGTCAGAGGAATCACTGACTATCTGACCAAATTGGCATAGATATGCAGCCAAGTGCTCCCCGAAAAATACTGATACCGTGGTCCTCCGCCTGCCTTTGTATTTTGTACGAAGAATAAGGTCTTTTGTTATAAGATCACGACTGGATGCGGCTTCACAGTTGGCAGGCGTGGGTAGCAGTAGGTCCCACAAGAAATATACCTTTTCTTTGATTACTCTCTGAGCTTTTAAAGATATATATATATATATATATATATATATATATATATATTTTAAAGATATTTTTGTAGGTACAAAATTTAATGATCGAAATAAAAGTATAAAATTTAATATTACCAGACATATTAAAACAGCATTAAATAATAAAAAAAAAACAACAACTCAACAACAAGGGGGGGGAGCAACTTGGTTTCGCTCCCGCTTGTCAGGCTTCCACAGGAGATTGAAAATTAAAACAGAAAAAAGTATATATATATATATATATATATATATATATATATATATATATATATACCTGTTTTCAGACATCCTTGAAGCGGAGACGGCTTTGGCAGAGCAGCGTGAACAGGCTGGGGATGCCGGCACGTTAGAGGACCACTGTGTTAGTGATCCAGTCTTGCCACTTAATGTGTAGGAGACGTCTGAGGCAGCGGAGGTGAAAGGTGTTTAACCTCTTCTCCTGAGTGGCCTAAGTTTTCCAGGACACGGTACCGTACAGAAGGGTGCTGAGGATGCAGGCCCGGTAGACTTGTAGCTTGGTGTTCTCCGTCAGCTGGCTGTTGTTCCAGGCGCGCTTGGCAATGACTGCGGCGGCTTTCCCTATCTGGAGATGATCGAGCGGAGGTAGGTAAAGGAGTCCACCACCTCGAGGTGCGTGCCTTTGATGGCAAATCCGGGGAGGAGGCGGTGTCTTGTGCCAGGATGTTGGTCTTTTTGAGGTTAATGGTCAAGCCGAACTCCTTGCAGGCATGGGCCAGGCGGCTGACTAATTCTTGCAGACCGTCCTCTCTGTGGGACGTCAGCGCAGCGTCGTCCGCAAACAACATCTCAAACAGCATCTCACGAATGAAGAACTCACGGACCTTGGTCCTAATGTGCAGTTGGGCGATGTTGCAGTTTGCCGTCTGCTTTAGTGCGGATGTAGATGCCCTACGTTCAGTCACAGAAGGCGTACTGGAGAAGCATGAAGAATATGATCACAAAGAGTTTCAGCGCGAGGACGCAGCCCTGCTTTACGCCGCTGCTCACAGGGAAGGCGTCGGATACCACGCCGTCGTATCAGACTATGCTGTGCATGTCCTTGTGGAAGGACTTGACCATCTGGAGCAGGAGGCTGAAGAGTCCGCTTCTGCTGACCAAGTGGAAGGCTTTCGTAAAGTCAATAAAGTCGATATACAGTGGTTTCTGCTGTTCACGTCACTTCCCCTGCAGCTGGCGCAACGAGAAGATCATGTCCACTGTAGATCGGCCCGTCCTAAAGCTACACTTCGACTCGGGGTACACACGGGAGGCGAGGCTCTGCAGGCGTGGAAAGACGACGCAGGCAAAGACTTTCCCGACGATGCTGAGAAGGAAAATGCCGCGGTAGTTATTGCAGTCGCTGCGGTCACCTTTACTCTTATAGAGGGTGACAATGTTGGCATCTCGTATGACCCGGGGTCCGTGGCCCCTCTCTCAGCACAAGCACAGGAGCTCGTGGAGATGCCGCAGCCGAACTGGCTTGCCCCTCTTCAGAACCTTCGATGGAATCCCGTCCCTGGCATGGGCCCTCCCGCAGGAGAAACAGTCGATGGCTTTTCCGAGTTCCTCCGCAGAGGGCCGGGCATCCAACGCCTCCATGACTGGGAGACTGGGCAAGGCATCCAGAGCGGCATCCGTCACCACGTTCTGGGTTGCATACAGCTCCAGGTAGTGCTCCATCCAGCGCTCCAGCTGCTTGCCCTGGTCTGTAATGACCTCTCCTGCCTTCGACTTCAGCGGAGCCATCTTGATTGGGGTAGGGCCGGTGGCGGTTTTGATGCTGGCGTACATGCCTCCTGCGTTTCCACTGTCGGCAGCCGTCTGGATCCTGCTACACAGGTTCAGCCAGTACTCGTTGGCGCAGCTGTGTGCAGTCATTTGGGCCTTGCTGCGGGCAACTCTAAGGGCATCGCGGGTACTAGCGCAAGGGTTTTGCTTGTAGGCCAGAAGTGCTTGTCTCTTGGCTTCAGAGGCTGGCTGCATCTCATCCCAGTGAGCTTCGTACCAATCCGCATTTCAACGATCCTTCCTCCCGAACGCAGTAAGGGCTGAGATGTATATGGCATCACGGAGGTGGTGCTATCTACTGTCGATGTCAGTGGCACTGAAGAAGATGTGTCGACCTTCACGCTAAAGGTGGTTTGGAAGTGACGAGAACTCTCAGGTGTTGATGCGAGGGAGGCCCTTGGTTTTGGAGCGGCATATTTTCTTGGTTATCAGTCTCACTTTGCAGCCTACTAGGGAGTGGTTCGTGTCGCAGTCTGCGCTGTGAAAGCTCCGAGTGTGAAGAACGATCCTTAGGTTTGCACGCCTGGTGATGACAACGTCGAGCTGGTGCCAGTGTCGAGAACGGTTGTGTGTCCAAGAGACTTTGTGGCGTTCTTTGCACTTGAAGTAGGTGTTCGTGACGCATAGTCCGTGGTGGCAGCACAGTTCCAGCAGCCGCTGTCCATTCTCATTCATCTTGCCTATGCCCTGACGGCCTAGGCAGGAGAGCCAAGTGTCACATTAGATGCAGAGGACATTGGCGAAACCTGTAGATGTTGAGAGGCCCAATGGTAGGATTCTCTCAGATCGGCCAGTTGGTGGTTCAATGACTGGTATCAGTGAGTTCTTCACAGCGAAGCCTACGCCGTGTTGCCTTGGGTCATCCTGAGGCAGGACCTGACAGAAGAAGGTGCAGACATGAAGCTAGCCGACATTGACCCTAACACCTGGGAGGCAGCGGCTGACGATCGTCAGATTTGGAGAACCACAGTCAGTGACGGCGTCACGATTGCAGAAGCGGCGAGGGAAGAGAGCCAGGAGAAAAGCAAGGACAGCCTCCGTGTCATCCAGTTTCATCTGCGCCAAGTGCCTGAGAGACTGCCGCCCCAGAGTAGGACTACACAGTCACCAGAGGCGATGTAACTCCATCGCCTAGAATTTAAAAAAAATAATAATAATCGGTACTCCATCGTCTCCCGAGACGGACGGATGCCGAACCGAATATACCGGTTGTAACAGAAAAAATATCCAGTTGTTAGATTAAACTTTGAACCGTTGAATCTTAGAAATGATTAAAGACATCTTACTGGAATTCTTTGATGTTTTTATAACGCTGTTGGACTCTTCATTGAAAAATAAGGATATATTTATCGGATGGATGTTGGTACCATTACTGAAGGCCTGAATGATATTTTTCCTCTCACCATTTCTCAGTTGGGAAGACATAGCGGGGCTGACACAAACCAATTTTAACCTGTTCTCTTTAACTCAAGGTATATATATATATATATATATATATATATATATATATATATATATGTGTGTGTGTGTGTATGTGTGTGTGTATATGTGTGTGTGTGTGTGTGTGTACTGGACTCTTCCGTTGCTTTCGATATATGAGGCTCCTTAATCTCACTTCTTAAAACCGAACAACGAGACAATTCAACAGTAAGAATTTATTAAAGTGGTGAAGGCTTGTGCAGAAGCACCACTTTTCTAATGAACCGAATACAGAGAACTGGTGTGTATAACGTGCCACATGTTCCTCATAAGCTCACCGAAGTAAAGTAATTTTGATCCTGGTTAGTACCGAGATGGGTGACCTCTACGGGATATCAGTTGGTGTAATGGAGGACGGCAAGCTATTGAGAATCGTTGGCTGACGTTTCTTTCTGCGTTATACTGGTTACCAACGAAGGCTATCAGACCCAGTCTGTCCTGATATTTAACCCATAGATAGGAGGAGAAAAGATAGATTCATACTTTTCACAATGGTATATGCGCGTAAATGAATGCAACAAACTCGACTGGAATTCAAACTTGGTTCTCCGATTTATTATTCCGAGCCTGTATACATGAAACTATAACTCACACCCTAATATATTAGGTGTCTGGATATAGCTTACTCTCCACGATTCCTATGCATACGGTGGAGTAGTGTATAGCGGCTCGGATTGCGGAATCAGAGTGCAGAGTTCGAATTCCAGTCGAATCCATTATATTCATTTACTACGTGCTAATAACCTTGAGAAAGGTATTAATGATCTTCTTTTCCATCCAGCTATGGTTAAATAAAAGGACTGACTGGGTTCTATAGCCTTGGATGGACAACTCTGAATTCAAAATGTGCGGAGGGTTCTTTGGGGACCCTGTGGTACGTAGTACACCGGGTCTCTGTATTCAGCCCTTCAAAAAGTGTGGTTGGTTCTGCACGAAGCCTTCACCACTATAATCAAATCATGTGTGCTTGTGTCTGACTGTCGGTTCCTACGCCCTCATACGTCGAATACGACGGGAGATCCCTGAATATGTACTGAATATCTACACTAAACAAGATATGCGTACACACACACACACACATATATATATATATATATATATATATATATATATATACACACATGAAAATTTAAAAAATATATAAGTGCATGTATAGATTATTTAAAAGTAACTGAGTTTGATATGACATAGAAACATACGATGTGTCGGGGTAAAATATGACCCACTTAAAAATGTCAACAGAGAAAGATTCCCTTAGCCTGGCAAAGAAATTTTTAACACTTGTGTATAAGTATACACATACACAGAAAGTACACAACATATGTGTATGTGTGTGTGTAATGTGTGTCCGAATGCACATATATTCACACACACTCACGCTCGCACACAGCACTATATATATATATATATATATATATATATATATATATATATATATATGCAGATTATGAATGAAAGACATGAAGAGAAAGATAAAAAGAAAAAATGATGAGAGACAGTGTGTCAGATAGATAGGTAGATAGATAGCCCTGAATGTTTCGTTGAGCAGGATTGGGGGTGCTAGCGCTGTAATTTTGGCTCATAAATACTTGAGATGTGCAAAGGCTTCTGGGTGCAATGTCTTAGTCTTCTTTCGTGGCCTGTCATCACCCACGCATGAGCTTGTTTCTCGCCTCCACTCATTTCGTTTCATTCGTAGACGTATGCGCTGAAAACATCGACACCCTCTTTGTGAGTCTGCATTAAACGGCAAGTACGCAAAGTTCTTCCGGAATAGGTCTTTATACATGCATACAGATTAAGTTTGATTATACTGAAAAACAGACGCACACACACACACGCACACACGCACATACATGTACTAATATATATATTAAAGAGAGAGAGAGAGAGAGAGAGAGAGAGAGAATGTGACTACGATTGAACATGTTCGGACTGATAAACATAATATTAAAAACACTCTCTCACACACGCACGAACACATATAAAATTAACAATATATTCGCAATTTATATATATATATTATATATATATATACAGAGAGAGAGAGAGAGAGAGGGCGGGAGAGGGGGAAGGGGGGAGGGGGAGAGGGAGAGAAATAGAATGTGATCGTATGAAAGCAAAACTGGACACAGAGTTCATGCATAAATGCAATCTTCTGGCCTGAAGATTTCGCTGAAACAGGTTGTCACCTCTGGGAGTTGACTATATATATATATATATATATATATATATATATATATATGTGTGTGTGTGTGTGTGTGTGTGTGTGTGTGTGTCGATTGAAAAAGAAATTCATTCGTTGTCTTTTCTTTAATAGTCGGCTTGTGAGTCCTGATTTTTACCTTTTATATTCAGTGGAATATATATATATATATATATATATATATATATATATATATATATATATATATATATATATATATATATATATATATATATATGTAGCCTCGGCTCGCCACAGTGTTGACCTCTGTATACACTTTTGAATTTCATTTCTATCCCTGATATGGGGCACTTTTACACATAAAATAGGATACGTTAAAATATATATATATATATATATATATATATATATATATATATATATATATATACTGAGATATTTCATATAGTTAAATATAGAAGATATTTAGTAAATATAAGATACACAGATATATGTAACCAACGGGAGACATAGATATAATATTGACAGCTAGAGTCTTTCATTGTTGTCGTAGCTTTCTCTGTAAATGCATGTGTAACTTTATATAATTAAACGTGTGTGCGAGTCAATGTGAGTGTGTGTTTATGTCTTTTTCTGGCCATCTATGTAATTACGGTTTCCGCTAAAAACTTTTACATTGCATAATAAAGTACTATATATTCTATATAATGATATATATGTATACACAAATATATTGACGTCATAGTTATCTAAAGAAGTTTTTAATCTGAACAGATTATATAAATTTTTGTGATGTCTAAGTATTTTTTAAAGCTATTAGTTATAGCCTAGATATTTTAAACTATCTACTGTAAACATTTTAAAACATTTGTGTAGTATTCATAATTAATCTTATTAAAGTTTGGTTTCAATTTTTTAATATAGATAACTTCAAACATTTTTTAATATAGATAACTTCAAACATTACAGTTCCTGTATATAATTTTTATGAAAAAATATAGATGTATTTTCGAATTTATCTAAATTGCCAATGTGGACAGGCATGTTGTTGTAAATGTTGAAAGATGTTAGATGCATCATTCAAATGAAAACCCAACATTCGAAACAATGTAGTTGTGGTGTGACTAACATATATATATTTTTTTTTCAGTTTGGACATTTATATTTATATATAATATTGTTTTTCAGCAACACGTTAATTAGTGTGGAGGAGTCATTAGGAATGATTACCTTGGATATATTGACTTTAGTATAGTATATAATTAATTTTATTTTTTTTTACAAAATTTGTGGTGAATTACTACTTATTAATTTTTATGATATTTTCATCCTGTCTATAATTATAATGCATTTGATTGCGATATAAAAAAATAATGTTTACGATTATTTGAGGAAGTGTTATGTTCTATATGTTTTATATTAAAATTTCTAATAGAACGACTTATTTGTTCTTCGACAATATAATTAGGGAAGTTGTCTCTACATATATAAAGGGCAGTTGTGTGTGTGTGTGTATGTGTGTGCGTGCCTGTGTGTATCCGGATAATACTAGAAAACTACAATAATTACAACAAAATAAATATATAAAGAGACTCATTATCACCCAAGACAGCTTTTTGTAAAAGTTAGGATTGTATGATTTCTATTTACTAAGATATTTTAAAATTAAAATGCATTAGAATGCATTCAAAATTCTCAGAAGTAAAAAGTAAAAACAAACGCTAACAATTCTTATTCCCGATTATTATTAACATTCTTTTTTGTTTTTTAATTCTTTCGAAACGCTATACATGTATGGATTTTTAAAATTTCTATTCTCTTGAATTTTCTCATCTGTAGTAAATAAAAGCGTAAAGAATATTAAAACAACAAATAAATTTAAAAGAAGAAGAATATTAAATACAATTATTTGACAAAATGTTTAATATTTATTTATTCAAATAATATGTGTGTTTTTGTATCCGCTAAAAGAACAATAATAATTAAGAGCGAATAAAATATATATACAAACTTAGTATCACCTAAATTACAGTTTTGTCTCTGTGTGCGTGTGTATGTGTGCGCGCGTGCTTGCGCGTGTGTGTATTTGCGTGTGCGTGTATTATTGGTTTATTAATATTTTTCCGCCATCTTATGAAAAATAATTTTTTTTTCAATCCTTAATAAATAAACTTCATTGTTTTTTGGCAAAAAACTATAACGAGCCTTAATTTTCGAAAATTAATTTAAATAAAATATAGTTAAATTCGTAAAACAAATATTTAAAACGACTAAGGCTGACCGTAACTAATGTCTTTCCCCGCTAAATTTTATTTAAATTAATCTTTTCAAATACAAATATTACTTGAAATTTAAACATAATCTCTTTTCAAAACTAAATTCTCGATGTATCTTGCTTCTACTCACTTTC